AGAGCTAGGTTTATGTATTGCCTCCTACTAGCAAGCCTAGAACCTATAACCAGCTTTGAAAAAGACTCCCAAACACATATCAATGAAGTTGCCTCAAAATACAGGAAGAAAACTGCACAAAATTAAATTTTCAATGAAAAGTTTACAAAATAACAATGTGTATTTGGTTGATTACAATGCAAGTCACCTTCTTTGGAGTCTACATAAATTATAGGTAATGAGAAATATAGGTGAATTTTAATATAGTTCACATGATATGATGGCCATTCAATACTTGCATTACAGACCACAACACCCTAAAGGAGAGAGAGAGAGTAAAAGGGAATGTGCCTGTCACAGAGGCTGAGGGGGAGTAGGGCGGGGGAAATGGGGGGGTGAATGGGAGGGATAATGGGAACATTGGTGGTGGAGAACGGGCACTGGTGGAGGGATGGCACTTGATCATTATATGACTGAAACATAAGCACAAAACTTTATAAGTCTGTAACTGTACCCCATAGTGATCCATTAAAAAATTTTTTAAATTAATTAATTTGCTCTCACAGGATCTTTTCCTTTTCCTGAGGCTCCCTCTTCCTCCAGGACAATTGTACACCCATCATTTTAGCATGTGTATGCTCTTTTCCATCTTTACTCTTTAATTCAGTCCCTTAATTTTCTATCCCTAATATTTGCTTCCTGGCTTACACTATTTTAAACTTTATAGAATTGCATATACGATTTTTTTTCTCAAATGAAAATCTACCTGTACATAAGATCACAACACATAAGATTTGTCTTCCAAATCTCGAGTTATATTAACAACAAAAGATTGCCTTTAGAATTATCCAGACTGATCTCAGGAGTCAGAACAATATGATGACTTGACTTCCTCATTCCACATCAAAGTGCCTTCTTCCTTTTTTTTTTTAAATATACCCTCATTACTTAGAGACCTTTTGTCTCCAAAGACACATGAACAAAGCTCACATGTTGCCCAGTCAGAGGTCATAGCTCTAACTCTGAGCAACTTAAAAAGCAACTGGTGTGACTTCTCTTCACAATGAAGACTATGGTGAAGAGAAGGGAAACAGGTGGTGAAGTAGGTGTGTTCCTATAGGTGGTTTATGTGAAGCGGAGAGGAGATTGTCACTTTCCCCAATTTGCCTTTGTCACCCTAGGACCAGCTGTGAAGGCTAGGACTGAAAAAATCTGCAATGAACCCCTGGGAAGTACAGGCCAGAGCCCCGCTAACCCCACCAGGTGGTTGTCAAGCCATAGCAAACTTCTCTTCATGGGAGTTGGTCCCCACCACCCAATTTCTTGGGGAGCCACGGGATCAGGCTAGATCAAGGAATTGCTCTTTGTGGGAAAGGAAAGTCAGTCCTAGTCCTTAACCAGAGTTCCAGGTGCTTTGTCTTATCTTGCAGAAAAAAATTTCAGGAGACAAACAGTGAATCAAAACAGATTTTATTTGGAGGCTTTTAGGAAGGGGAAGGAGAGAGAAAAGTGAGAGAGAGAGAGAGAGACAGAGACACAGAGACACACAGAGAGAGTAACACACTCAAGTAAGAACTTGATCTTCTCCAAAGGCAGAGAGAGCCCCAGTATACATCTCAAGAAGGGAGATGTTGGTGACACATGTGCTCAGACGCCACATGTGCTCAGCCACATGGGTACAAGTAGCACATGGGCTTGAGCAGCATATGCACACCCTTCCTTAGTTCAAGGTGGCCTTTATAAGATTTCTCCAACCTGCCCCCACATGGGGCTTTTACGTAGGTAAAATTACAGTGCTAGGCTGGTTGCAAAAGGGATAGAATAAGGAGTGGTCAATGGTTCCTTTGATATTCCTTTCCTTGGCCTTTATTTTTGCTTGGAGCTTCTCTTGGAGCGGGAGGTCTGACTTTCTTTGGGTCTCTTGGCCCTAGGTGAAGTTTTACCAAGTTTCAGTTCCTGTGCTCACAGGTCCTTAGGGCTATGTGCTTTTACTACTCCCATGGAATTTCATTGCCATGGGCCCTTTCCTATCTATCTGCCTGCCTACATCAGTGGGACAGAACAGGAGTAGTTTTCAACTTTATTTTGTTCTTCTGAGATCTAAGAGAAATGTACTGAGAAGGAAAGTACAATTTGGGGCGGGGAGAGGTTGTTTCTGTTTTGTTTTGGAGTCACACCCAGCACTGCTCCAGAGATACTCCTGGCTCTGCATTCAGGGATCACTCCTGGTGGTCCTCAGAGGACCATATGGATGAGGGGATCAAATCCAGGTTGGCTGCATGCAAGGCAAGCACCCTACCACCTACGCTATCTTTCCAGTCCCCATTTTAAAAGAAGTGTCATTGTTTATTTGTTTGGGAGTCACAACCAGCAATACTGAGGGTTTACTTCTAGCTCTGCACTCAGGAATTCCTCCTTATGGTACTCAAGTGACCATATGGGATGCCGGAGATCAAACCTGGGTCAGCCATGTATAAGACAAATGCCCTACCTGCTGTACTACCGCTCCAGCTTAAATATTTTTTTGTTTGTTTGGGAGGGGAAGCGTTCCTGACAGTGTTCAGGGATTACTCTTGGCTCTGCACCAAGGGAATACTGGTGGTCGGCTTGGGGGAACATATGGGATGCTGGGAATCAAACTCTGGTAGACCATGTGGAGGCAAGTGCTCTTCTCACTGTACTATAGATTTGGTCCTGAGAAAGCAAACACAGTTCTTTCACTAGTTTTGTTTCTAGCTTTACTTTTTCAAATATCTACCTAGAAATTGACACCATCTTTACAATTCATGAGATAAGGGAAGCAACATGTAAGATTTAGTCACTAATAGTCATTCAGAAGCAGTACTTAGACTTCATTCATATTCAAAAATGGGCTCATACGTCAGAAAGAGAGGGATAGACATAGAAAAATTGCATTCATCTGGGGGATATAAAGCAACAAAATATGAGATCAATACCTAAGAATAGCTGAGATCAACACCAGGAGGATTACTCCATAACTTAGAGGCCAGCCGGATATTCTAGGGGAAAGGGCAGTTCAGATAGAGAAGGGAACACCAAATGAAAGGTGTTTGGAGGATCCTCCCAGGAGGGGAAATGCATGTTGAAAGTAGACTATGGACTGAACATGATTGCCACTCAATGCCTCTTTTGCAGACCACAACACCCAAAAGGAGAGAGAGAACAAAGGGGAATGCCCTGCCACAGAGGCAGGGTGGGAGGGGGGGTGGGGGGAAATGGGCACTGGTGGAGGGATGGGTATTTGATCATTGTATGACCGAAACTCAGGCACAAAGATTTGTAAATCTACAACTGTACCTCATGGTGCTTCACTAATAAAAAAAAAAATGGGCTCATACATAGCTTAGAGGCCAGCCGGGTATTCTAGGGGAAAGCACAGTTCAGATAGAGAAGGGAGCACCAAATAAAGGGTGTTTGGAGGATCCTCCCAGGAGAGGAGATGCAGGCTGAAAGTAGACTGTGGACTGAACATGTTTGCCACTCAATGCCTCTTTTGCTGACCACAACACCCAAAAGGAGAGAGAGAACAGGGGGGAATGCCCTGCCACAGTGGCAGGATGGGATGGGGGGTTGGGGGGGAGGGATATTATCCATGGTGGCGGAAAATGGGCACTAGTGGAGAGATGGGTATTTGATCATTGTATAAACGAAACCCAAGCACAAAAATTTGTAAATCTACAACTGTACCTCATGGTGTTTCACTAATAAAAAAAATAAATAAATGACTTAATTTATTTAAAAAAATGGGCTCAAAAATATTAAAGTACCAAAGTTCCAGGAGGAAAGTTTTTTAAGTTTCTCTAGGATTTAAAATAAAAGGAGATTCTAAATATGAAGAAGAGCTACAAATAAGAACTAATTCAAAGTGGTATCACTTACAATGTGCAGAAGCTATGTTCCAAGGGAATCTCTTTGTAATCCTTTATTTTTTTAAAAAAGATAAGAACACCAATTCATGTGATAAGGTCATATGGAAGAAGTGGGTTTTAACCTGAACTGTCTTATGTCACCACAGCTGTGTGGTCAACTTTAAAAAATGGGAAAGAAATAACTATATCAACCTGGTAGTCTTATGTCTGACTGTAGTAGTGATGTCAAAAGAAAGAGAGAGTAGAAGATCAAGCTTTGTGTTTCTTTGAATACATGGAAAGGTTCAGTCTTTGGAAACATACTTGCAGCACTGAAGAGTACTGCTTAATTATCCAGACATTGTCACACAAAACCCACTGTCTCCACTGTCCCAAATGCAAAGTCACCTGCTTTGACCTGCCTTGGGAGCTGTACTTAACTCCTGAGCATCATGTTCCCCAGACATAATTCCTGCCACTCTCTGCTTTACAATTATTCTTTATCTTTTAAATTCATTTGGTCCTTTATTCTCAAGAACACAGATGCACCTTTCTGAGAGTCGTCCCTTTTTCTACCAGGCAGCTGGTTGTTACTCCTCTTGAATGTTGATCTAATTTTAGCAAGGTTATTCATGTGCTTTTTTGATGTGTCCCACCACAACAAATTTTCTAAAGGCAGATACTCTGTCATTCAGTTTTGCATCTACCGGTTTACCTTTTAGTTTTCTTTTTTCCCTCTTTTTGAGGGTCAGGGGTGGGTTTGAGGATGCCACTTAATAGCTTATTCTATTCATACAATAAATACTGAGTATTTAGAAGGAAGAGACACTGTTTTCAGAATTGGTTAAAGGGCAGTAAACAAAGCAGTCAAAATCTTGTTTTCTGTCCAGAAGTGAATTACCTCAAGGGTAAAAATACTAGAATACATAAATGGGACTAATTCTTCATTTTAAAAAATAAAATGAAGATATATACATTTATAGATGTTGAAAGTATGAAATTGAAAATTAATATTATTGTTCAAATGATCTCCAATAGTGAACTTGACTCTTTCTCTAATTTATAATGTACAATAGACTTATTTTAATATATCAAAAGTATAATAACAAAACTGACATCATTTTACTTAACACTTTTCTTCTTTATTTTTAGGGAACCAATCCACTGTACAGAGGCTCCACCAGTACCTTTAAAAATATAACCTATAAACACAGAGAAAAACAAAAGCTGAACCTTTCCACGGATGGATAGAGCTACTTTATGAATGGGAAAAGTCTGTTTCACAGATATAAGACATTAATACATTATTTAATTCTCCTTTCTTTGTTGCTTCAATATAAGGTTGGTTTAAAATAGGTCATCTGGAAATCATCATTCTCTGTATAGAGGTTGAGACTCTATTGCCAGGTTTAAATAATCAAAATGAGAAATATTAGCAAAAGACTGAGTTTGGGGATTATTTGAGGAATATAACTATGTTGCATTTAATACCTAAAAAATTATCAAAATGCTTCATGGGCACCTGATTATTCATTTGAAAAAGGTTTTGATTTAGAATTTCATCTATTGCAAGAATATAGCTACTTGAAATCTTTGGCTCAGCAAAGTCACAAGGTCCATATGCTCATATTACATCCTCATACTTGCCAATTAATTCTAAACTTTTATTAGCTCAGTCATTTCATGAAAAGGTTTTTAATTATGAGAAAAATGTGATTCTTATTTAATTTCTGCTGAGACCATAGAATTCTTCTAAAGATGTCCAAAGCATAAAAATGAAAACTGTGTTAATAGTTTCTATGAATTTGTATGAACCTAGGAGTCAAGTAAACAAACATGTAGTTTATTTGTTTTACAGATGAAGTAGCAGTAAATTATAAATTAGGAATTAATATTTTTTAAAAAATAAAAAGTCTATCAATTAGTTTGTTATCTGGGAAACCAAGTATAGAGTTTGTTTCTCAGATAACAAACTAAATAATTTGTTTCCCTCTAGACACTGAATTTCAAACAACTCTTACTTTACTGGTATTTCTCTATTTATCCTAGTCAGTTTCAGAGACTTCCAAACCTTGTACTTAAAATTTGAAAGTTTTAATTAATTGTTTTTTTAAAAAAATTACCTTAAATGGTTATATCATTTATTCAAAAAGAGCTCTAGTAATATAAAAGGAAGGTTAAACAGAATAAAAACTTAAATGGGTTTTAAATCAAACACATCAGGAGTGCTTCAGACTCTCATGAATAATCAGCTTTTATCTAAATTTTCTTCCCATGAGAACTGCATAACCTACAAGTTGCATAACCCAGTGTGTACTTCTCAACTGCATCTGGTGAATATGCATCATCTATCTACTTTTAGCTTGTAAAATTTGATTTGCAAAAGAGATATGGGTAAATAGAGATACATAACTTGAAAAGTGGGACTGACTGTAGAATATTATTTCTTCTGCTTTATACTGCTTTACAAGGCACTTTTGTCTCATATGATCCTCATAAGTAACCGAAGATTCAGAGAGTGAGTAGAAAAACTAAGCCCTGAATCTTAATTTTCTAATTCTTTGCATGCTCTCTTTCTATGGTACAGATTGAGTCTTGTCAGTAAAATGATTGGTGGTTTCTGTTAGTTAAGCAATAACTATCATTGTTTGTTGAAAATTACTAAGACTAAACAGATAGTATTCAAACTACTGGAACATGGGTGAGGTATTGTACTTTTGTGCATTATTTATTATATTTGGGTTCATCATAATGTGAAGCTTATACTAGGCAAATAGTTTGTTATGTAAGGAAGGCTTTGTGTTTCTCCATTGAATTGGCACAAAGTAATCTATGATGTTACTTCAATTTTCCCAGATATATCTGTACACATTTAAACACTGGAAACTTTTTTCTATTTTTATATAGCTCAGGTTACTTATACCATTGGGGAACATACAGCTATATTTAATTAATTGCTAAACAATCACCTTGCAAATCAGAAGAGCTATATACCTTCTATGTTCCAGACTGCACTCAAGGTCTAGCTAAAACCTTGAACACGAAGAAAATGACAATACTCAAGACACAGCAGTAGTTTTAACTCTCCATGTGATTTTTTAATATTATTGTTAGATTTAAGATTTTACAAAATATAAGCTTCCTTTGTGTGTATATAGGGGAAAGTAGTGAAGAGTCTGGTATTTCTCTGAATATGGTTTTGATCCAAGGCTGGTCCTTGAAAATGTCAAAACTTTAACAGTAGTACTTCTGTTCAATGAAGAGATATGTTACATAAAAACAAAACGGGTTTTTTGTTTGTTGTTTTATTGTGTTTTGTGTTGCTATAAATAAACGTGATAATTTAAACATAGCACCTTTATGAATGATGTTTCATTTTATTGACTAAATGCAACACCCCCTTCTTGGGTTTCTCCATCCCTGTATGGTCTGCTCTGACCACATTCCTGCTCTTGACTTGGAGTCAAAGCAAAAAGAAGCAGCCACTAAAGGAAGGACCCCGCGTGATATTCCAAGCATAGCTCTTTTGATTTCTCTTTGAGACCCAAATAGCGTTCTCATCCTGTTTTCGTAGGGCCCAGGTCTCTGAGGCATGTGTTAATGCAGGAAAAACAGTGGAATCAAAGAGATGTGCTCGTAAATGGAGGTTCTTTGTCCTCTTAGTTATTTCTTCAACGCTCTTGAAGGCATTCCAAGCTGCTCTCTTCCTACTGCACAGCTTGGGTGCCAGGTCATTCATCATGTTGATTTCTTGATCTAGGAATATATAACTGTTGCATTCAGAGATGGTGGTTCCGTTGAGAGCGAATGGAGCATCAGGAATGAGGCTGTTTCTCATAAGCATTGTCTTCATAAGATACAGCTGTAGTCCGACATTTCCACACTCATGGTCGAAGTCGGCCAGCATTTGTGCCGCTTGGCTGATGTTTGGTGTTATTAGAACGATGTCATCAGCAAAGCGGAGGTGGTGTAGTTGCCAACCATCTATCTTCACTCCCATTTCTTCCCATTCCAGTCATCGCATGATGTTCTCGAGGGTGGCACTGAAGAGTTTTGGTAAAATGCCATCACCCTGCCGAACCCCTCTCTTGACATGGATGATTACTTCTTTGTAGAATGGTGAGATCCTGGTAGTGAATCCGTAATACAGCTCATGGAGGATCCTGATGTATTGAGTTTGTACGCCCTGATTAGCTAGGGCTTCTATGACCGCTTCCGTCTCAACAGAATCAAAGGCCTTCTTTAAATCAATGAACGTTAGACAGAGCTGCATCTTGAACTCCTGAGAAACCTCAATGAGCATAGTAATCATGTGGATATGGTCGATGGTACTGAATCCTTTTCGGAACCCGGCTTGTTCACATGGTTGTCCTTCATCTAGTGTTCTGCTAATCCTATTCAGGATGACTAGCATGAACAGTTTGTAGATGACAGACAATAGGCAGATTGGATGATAGTTGCCAATGTTGTGGATGTCTCCCTTCTTGTATAGTAGTACAGTCTTGCTGGTTTTCCATTGGGATGGAACCTTGTATTCAGACAGGTAGTGTGTGAAGAGCCGAACCAGTGTATTGATGAGTACTGATGGTAAGTTCTTCAGGTGTTCAGGTCTGATCTTGTCTGGGCCAGGTGCTCTTTGTCTCTTTACCGACGAGATGGCGTGTTGAATTTCGGAAGGGAGAACATTGGGAACGATATATCCATCGTGCAGAATGTGGTATGTGGGCAAGTGGACGTGGCTATTAAAGAGACCTGAGTAGAAGTCATGAATAATCTTCTCCATTGTCCTTCTGGAAGATGTGATAGATCCATCAGGATGTCTGAGGACAGTCATCTTGGTCTTGTAGTTGGTGAAGGACAGGCGGGCATTACGAATGCTTTTCCCGGCTTCTGCCACATCTACCAGCACCACTGTTCTCCTGTCTTTGAGGTCATCCTTGATGGCTTCTCTGCATTGTTTTGCCAGCTCGGACGTTCACTTGAGGTTGCCTGAGGCATGTGCCAAGCCACGTTGGCGAATAAGTTCAAGAGTGTTCGAAGAAAGGCGGTTTTTTGTGGTTATCTCTCTCTTGGCATTCCTCACACAATCATGGAGGTGCTGAATCATTCGATCGTATTCCTCATCAATGTTGTCAATGACGGCATCTTCCCATGTTGCCGCAACAGAGCCAAAGAGCTCCCAGTTGGTGGTCGTTCTGGGAGTTCTCTTCTTAAACTTTGCATTCTTTTCTCCCCGTTCTGTGAGGTAGAATTTTGCATGAAGGAGACGGTGGTCTGATCCCGTTTGGAATTTTGGGACAACAGCAACATCGGTTAGGAAAAACCGCCAATTGAATATGATGTGGTCTATTTCATTGTGGAACCGTCCACCGGGAGACTCCCATGTCCAACGTTTAGATTCAGCCTTTTGGAACTGTGAGTTACCATGGAAGGTCTTGGTTGACATGATGAACTCAGACAGTCTGTCACCCTGTTTGTTCCATTCTATGCCATGGGGCCCATTGTGGAGTTCATCGGCTGATCTTCTTGGTTCTATCTTCGCATTAAAATCACTGACAATGATCTTGTAGAAGGTGTGATCTTCTTTATAGAACTTCTCCAGCTCCATGTAGAACTTCTCAATTTCTCTTTCACCAGAATTGGATGTTGGTGCATAGACAACAAAGATAGAAACTGCTGGCAGTGAGCCACATCTATTCAAGTGTAATCTTCCTATTCGGGTTGTTAGGCATTCGAATGAATCAATGTTCATGGCTATGCTCGTGTTGACAAGGATATTGACACCACCGACGCCTCTTTTGTCACATGTTCCAAGGAAAAGTTCTTCTCCAGTGTTGAAAACGGTGTAATGTGATTGATGTCTTCTTGTTTTGGTCAGACCAATGATGTCCTACCTGATCTTTCGCGCTTGTACCATCAGGTCCTCGATGGATGTATCAGATGCCAGCATACGTGCATTGAAAGTACAGACAATCATTTTTGTCTTTCTTCGTTTTGGCAGCCTTTTTCTGCCTTGGGATTTTATCAGCCTCTCCTTCCACATCCTTCTCGACTCTGCCATATTCGGATCAGGGGAATGAGATTCATTTTTTTTACTGGATTTGTCATATCGAATAGACCACGGATAGCTTGCCAGGGTCTGCCATGTGGGTGGGATATTTAAGGTACCCTGAAAAATTAAATAAATGCAAATAAAAATAAAATTAAATAAATGCAAATAAAGATATATATATATATATATATATATATATATATATATATATCTTGGAGAGCCTAGCAAGTTACCGAGAGTATTCTGCCCACATGGCAGAGCCTGGCAAGGTACCTGTGGCGTATTTGATATGTCAAAAACAATAACAGGGCTCGTTCCTGTGACCCTGAAGAGCCTCCAATACTCCAATACAGCAGCGTTGGGAAAGATGAGTATGGAGAGGCTGCTAAAAACTCAGAGCTGGGATGAATGGAGATGTTACTGGCGCCCACTCCAGTAAATAGATGAACAACGGGATAACAGTGATACAGTGGTTTTAGACTAGACCTGTTCACACCTGATACCACAGTTCTTTGCCAAACATCCACAATGTCACGGCAGGAGACACTGCCTATTATCTCCTTGACCTGACACTAGAAATGCTGCCAGCTGTTGACAAGCACAAATATCCTGGACAGAACCACTCATGATGGCTAGATGCTACAGATGCTGTCAGGCACTCCTGTCTGTGAATAGTCAGGCATTACCCATTATTTTCACCTACCATATCCAGCGTTAATTATGTAAAGTACATTATAGATACTGTAATATCTACTCCCTAAGAGGCTGGTATTGTTTTCCCCCACATTACTGAGTGGTTAACTGTCGCTTTGAATGTTGAGGATCATACTCAGAGTTATAAACATCAAGAGAAAAAATTGGACCTGAGCATATCTCACACCAAAGCCTTTAATCATGACACTGTGCTATGTAGAAAGTCACTGGAAGCACTAATATTTGCTTTTCCTATGTGCAATGTGTTCCTACTAATCAACCCCATTAATTTCTGAGGGTTAAAAGAAGGTAAAGGGATATTCTTGATAACCTTTCAGTATCAATATTGCAAACCACAATGGAGAGAGAGAGAGAGAGAGAGAAAGAAAAGCAGCTGCCATAGAGGCAGGAAGTGGGGAAGTGGATGGGGGGTGATGGGAAGGAAACCTGGAGACACTGGTACTGGGAAATGTACACTGGTGGAGGGATGGGTGTTGAAATACCGTATGACTGAAGTCCAATCATGAACAACTTTGTGAGGACCTATCTCACAGTGATTCCATTAAAAAGTTTTTAAAAAAAAAGAAAAAGATCAAGAACTTCTGCTCAGATACTAATGTCTATGATAAATATTTATAAATCCAACATCCTAAAAATAAATGATTTTTAATGTGTTTTGTGTAACTTGTGAAAAAAAAAGACATAACTTGATTAGAATTGTTTGCTGGAAGTAGTAATGGGTTTGCTCCCTGATCCACAGAGGCTTAACTACTAGGTTAAGATAAAATCAAGCACTGAAATGAAGAACCATCCAGGGCAGCACACTTTAACATGCAATGTTTCACAACCTTTTCCCTGACATGATTCCTCTTTATACCTTCCGGTGGCACCGTGTTCTGATGACTGGCCCCTAATCTCATGTTGTGGGTCCCAATTCAAGTAAAATTCACCTGTGGCCCCCTTGGAACATCTTGGGGTTCATAGGGGAACTTAGGGTACCAGTTGGAAAATTTTGTTCTGACCAACTAACTTAATGGACCTTGGAACTGGGGATAGAGAGAAAGAAGCCATCCTGCCCCACTCTCATTCTGTAGCCTACCTATCTTTCTGCACCTACCCAAAGTTCAACATGGGGTTGGGGGAGGAGTCTAAGTCATTTTAGAGATAGTGATCTTGGCATATTAAAGCACCTTCGCTGGACAGCAAAGACTTCCACATCTTCATCAGCAACTTCTCAAAAGTGCTACATTTTTACACTAACAGGCGGAATGATCTGGCAGAGACTCCCTTCCCTGGAGTGGCCAACTGAGCGCTGACACCACTGTCTTCACCACACCTAATATCCCTTAAGGTTGTGCGAGCAACGGCAAACACATGTGGGTCTTCATTCAGCGCACCAAAGGGGCCCTGCTTGCTGAGAAAAGAAAGAATGTAAAGGAGAACGTGGATAAATGCCTGCCTCTGGTGCTAGTTAATGAGACAGCAGTGCAGATGGAGGTGATGGCGATGGCAGGTGATAAGAACAGTGGTCTGAAAGCTGCATGAAGAAAACACCTGTGGGGGGTTAATGGACCCTTGTGTGTTGTCTCCAAACAGACTAGCAGGGA